TTTAGACCTCTCATTGGCTGTTCCTTATAGTAGTTACTTGGGGTTGTTTGGATTCAGAACAGTTCCCATTTCTGCCAAGGAGTGGGTGACGTGGGCGGCCTGTGTGTCCCTCTGAAGGGTGGTGGCCTTGCCTCCTCCAACGCCAGGCCTAGTTTGGGCCTGTAGTTTCGCTCGGGGAGGGAGGCTGGGCCGTTCGTGGGCCCAGAGAGAGACGTCTCTGCCTTGGCATGTACCTCGGAGTCAACAGGCCTGATAAACAGCCCACTTCCCGGGGCCAGCGAGGAACAAAGCCCCTGGCTGCTACGGGATCTGTCTCCCCACCCCCCCCCCCCTTCCTGAAACAGCTGTTTATTCTTTTGACAGGAGTTGGAACACAGCACCTTCCCCTTCCTCCCGGCCCTGCCTCCTTCTGCAGAGCGGAGCTCAATAGAACTTTGTTGTTCTGCCTTTTACTCTGCGGGGAGAGAAGCAGACGATGAGGTATGTCGAGATGCTGGAATGATTTACTTCTGCCTTGTCGGGGTCCATGGGGGAGTTGTGAGCAGGGTCTGACAGGGAGGAACCTCGTCTCCCCTGCCCCTCTTGCTGGTGCCCTCAGTAGTTCTGGAAGAAGACAAAGTCCTTCTCTCCCCCGTCTAGAAGCAGGAGCTGGTGGGATGCTGGCTCAGAGGTTTCACTGTAAGTTCTGCTTTATTTTGCTCCCCCCCCCCGGCAGGACCTCACGGGGCTGTGGCTGGCTGGTGTGGCCACGGCCTGGGGTTTTCTCTACAGGATTCAGAGTGACAATGCGGAGGCAGGAGGGCTCTGGGCTGACGTTGAGGCAGAGCCCCCTCAGGGCAGTGCAGACACTTCGTTTACCTTATTTCTCTTGGAAAAAAACCCTTGCACAGTAACTCCGGAGCCAGGCAGTAAGGAAAAGCTGGCTGGATACAGGCTTCAGATTTCCTGGAGGGGATTCAAGAAAAGTCACCACAAGATGGACTTCAGAGAACAGGTTGTTCCGTTTGTGATGGCTGGAGCGACAATTAGCTGTGTATTTAGTCTGAGACCTGACTCTTTGTTTCCTCCGTCTGTGTTTACTCTGACCCTCATAATGGAAAACATCACTGGAAGCAGCTTTCTACATATCTATTTTTTTTCCCCACAAATTGCACCATGTTTCTTCCAATGGGGAGCTCTTCCCTGTGATGCCCACCATTTTAGCAGGGGGTGCGGAGAAAGTGGCACTCCCCTCCGGAACCCCCCCAGCACCACCCCCTTCCAAGAGCTGGGCCTGCGAGGCCAAGGGTCTGCTTTTCAAAGTCAGCGCCGCCCCTCCCCCCGGTTCTTCTGGGTGAACGCAGTAACCTCAATCTGTGTTAAACCTCAGTCTCCACCACCAAAAGCCACGACTCTGGACTCTGGCCGTGACGAGGGATGAACAAGGGGGGCGGGGGGCGAGGAAGGCCCCAGCCGACACACAGCAGGCGCCTGCCGAGGCTCAAGCTGGTCCGGGGAAGCTAGCCCCTCAGCGAGTCTAGCCTGTGAGTGGCCAGCTTGGGGTCAGTTGTGACCCAAGCGACTCTCACGTGATAATCAAGAAAGGCAAAATGAGAGGATGTGCCAGAGAGGCCCAGGTGATTAGTCCACGGGTGAGCCTTCATGCTTATTGAGAAAAGAGTGTTCACAAGGGTGGGCACTGAAGCCCAGCTCCCGGGACCAGAATCCCATCTCCACCGAGTTATGCTGTGTGACATTGGGCATGTTACTTAATCTTTCTGAGCCTCTATTTCCTTATCTTTTTTTAAAACTTGTTTTTAATGTTTCTTTATTTTCGAGAGAGACAGAGTGTGAGCAGGGGAGGGGCACAGAGAGAGGGAGGCACAGAATCCGAAGCAGGCTCCAGGCTCCGAGCTGTCAGCAACAGAGCCTGACATGGGGCTTGAACTCACGGACCACGAGATCATGACCTGAGCTGAAGTCGGACGCGTAACCGACTGAGCCACCCAGGCGCCCCTCTGTTTTCCTATCTTTAAAACGGGGATGACACTAGAGTAACTTCACAGGGTAACCGTGGGGCTTAGCGGAGAGACTACTGGGAAAACATTTGGCCCGGGGCCTGGCCTAGTTCCTCTGGGGAGCGTCCAAGGGCCTGACGTTTATTCCGTTTTCAGAGCCGTCTTCAAGAGACAGAAGGCAGAGCTGCACCCACAGTATTAGGCATGGAAGTGAATACTAGGATATGAGAAGAGATACCACAGCAAATAACAAAAACTGACAAATACTTCAAACAGGAAAAGACCCAGGAAAACGACATCATAATAAAATGACGTGAAAACACTATAAAAACCATTAGTAGTGCTTAGCTGTCTAATGCACCTGTCATCGTTTGGCTGCATAGTCTTGGATGGCCTCTTTGTGTTAGGATGATTCTGCAGTATCATTTTCAATAGAGACCAAAGGGAGACGAATCCGTCTGGCCTCTGGCCTGGTGAATCGACCTTCCTTCTTATCACTGAGACTTTAGAAATGTCTCTTCCAGCTTCACAACTTAGTGTTGGTGGTGCCGCATCTGTAAATCTTTCGGCTGTTTCTCACCCAGAGAACCCAGCTCTTTGATCCTAGATGGGGCAGGGGTCAGGCACAAGGTGGCCCCTGAGCGGGGCACAGAGCAGCATGGGGTTCGAGCCCTTCCTCTTGGGACCCAAGGGGGGCGCTCCTGGGTGCCCAACAGGGCGCCTGTGGGGCAGGTTGTTACTGGGACCCAGGTGGGCGGGCAGGTAGTGGGTTCAGTCCCCCGGCCCCACCTGCAGCCCCAGGACAGGCCCCAAGGCTGGAATGATCCCCTCAGACAGCGGCAGCACTCTTTGCCTCTAGGAGGCCTTCCTGAGCCACCCCCCACCCGCAACAGAAGGTCAGGCCCCGGCTCGCAAGGGGGCAGGATGCCCAGGCTTCATCAGCTTCTGACTAAGTCAGCCTCGGCGCTCAACACATGCGGGTTGGTGCTCCCGCCATGCTGTCATCGCGTCAAGGAATCCACACGGGCCACGGCACCAGGAGCTCCCGGTGGGTCTCAGTGAACCGCCTTCGTAAGCCGAGACTTCCAGCTCTCTGCTTGATTTCTCTTTCACGTCCCGGGTCCATCGACGGAAAGCCCGTCGTGGGAAGTTAAGTCCACAGAACTGGTTTCACAGATGGGGAGACCGAGGCCAGAGAAACTCGTGATCCTGGGTTACAAAGCCGGCTTTGTGGAGGGGCTGGGGCTGACCCGTAGGTCCGCTACACCTACGAACCTCCCCTTCCTCGCCTGCCCGCCTGCCTCGAGCACCAGGCAGGGGGGGCAGACGCGATGAGCAGCTGGGTCCCAGGCTGCAGACAGTGGGGAGGGAGCGCTGAGGACAGTCACAGTTCGCGGTGGGGGGTGGGCTCACCCTTGACTCTTCTGGGGGACCCAGACTCCCTCAGGTATAGCACGGCTCTGCTCTAGAGCACGCATTTTAGAAACTCTCCCATTAGAAAGCATCAGTGTCCTGACGGCTGCCAGGTGTGGAGCATTTGCTGACCACCAGGCACCATGTGCTTCATATACACGATCTCCTTCAGTCCTTTCTAGAACCCCGGAGGAGGGTGTTTCAAGCTCCATTTTGTATATGTAACTAGGGGCTCAGACTACTCACCCAAGGCAGACATCCAGGACCGCTGACTCCAGAATCTCAGTGCTGGTCTAGTTTCCTCCCAGGTCTGAGCGTCCCCGAGGGGGGGTGTGGAGAACTCCAGTTCCGTCCAAGGTCATGAACACCCAGTTGGTGCCTGTGCCCCTCCCCTGTCCCCTTACCTGAGTTGTGTTCTTGTGCAACACTTGTCACTACCTGACCTGGATCCTTTTGAGTCTCTTGACTTCAGTGCAATATTCCAGAAGCTACTAGGCTCGCAGAAGCAGCTTCGAAGGGAGGAGGGCTTGGGTTCCCTGGGCCGGGGGAGGAATCGGAGGCAGACAGGAGGATTTGTTAACCTGTGGGAAGGTTTGCTTTCCTCCAGCACTGCTTTCTCCCTGCCCAATTCCCGTTCTCCCGAAATAATGGCTTTTCCAGAGCTTCTGAGTGCTCTGTTGTTCAGCTGAGACGTTTACCTTTTCCCCTGACACAAGATGGAGAAAACATGGTTCACCAGAATTCCTTTCAGAGAGGAATTCAGTTTGGAAGGAATACCTTGACTTAGCCCAGTTGGGGTGTAATTCTGAGATTCTCTGAAGGGTGCGTGTGTGTGTGGTTGTTGTTGGGGTGGGGGGCACAGGATGGGGTGGGTACGGAAGAATTAATTTATGGGTCACACTTCACGTGGGAGCCGTTGTGAGGGTCGCTGTCTAGGATTGGCCCTGGGGCAGCCCGTGCCTGGGGTAGGACAGACTTAGGGAAAAATCACAAGTGTGACAAGAAGGCCTGGGAGGTGGGGGGGGGGGGGTGGATTCTGGCAGAACTGGCTAAATCTTGGGAAAGGAGGCACCCAGGTGACCTAGACCTACACTCTCCCGTGTGAGACGTGGTGTCAGTTTTCAGCAGGTCCCAGTTCGGTGCTCTACCCCTTACACGAAGGAATGTAGAAGCCATCCCACATTTCCTGCTTGGTGGGACAGATAGCCAACCACCAATTTTCAGAATTATACAGTTTTGAAAATTCTGAGACAGAAACATAAGGGAAGGACTTTTAGACCGTGCTGACTGCCAAATGCCTCACTTGTGTCCAGAGAGAGAAATGAAAATGTTTTAAAAGCTCTGTTGGCCACCCTGCCAACCCTTCCTTCCCTGGGGACTTGGATTCCAGATCCCAGGAAGCATGGATACACCCATTTCTAGTGGCTTGCTAAAACACGCAGTATTGGGTGGGGGGTGGGGGGGGTGGCGCCCGGGTGACTCAGTCGGTTGAGCGTCCGACTCTTGGTTTCGGCTCAGGTCATGATCTCACAGGTTCGTGAGTTCGAGCCCTGCATCAGGCTCTGTGCTGACAGCGTGGAGCCAGCTTGGGATGCTCCCTCTTTCTCTCTCTCTGCCCCTCCCCCGCTCGCTCTCTCTGTCTCTCTCAGAATAAAGAAAGTTAACAAACAACAACAAAAAGAGACCCGGTATTGGCTCACCCACCTGGCCTCCAGGCGTAAGTCTCCAGCAAAACATAAGCAGGTTCAAGCGATCTCCAGAAAGATATGGGCTTCGAGAGTTGCCTCTGATGCTAGTTTCTGGAATTAAAAAGTTATGCGCATACTGGGAGAGGGGGTTGGGAGGTGTGTCTGATTTGGGCGCTGCCCAGCGTGTCATTGTTCTCCACGCCGGGAGTTGGGGTGTTCCTCGGTTTAGCGTTCAGTTTCTTCCACCGGGAAGCAGTTGGCATTGGATCCTCAGCAGGTGACATTGATAAAGCTCAGGATGCAACGTTGTCACCTCCTCCGCACACACAGGTATTGTAGCAGGACTGTAACAGGGCCCTGGGCTCGATCGGAGAAACTCCGGGTGCCTCCCGCTTCCCAGGAGCTCTTAATCAGGCTGTGGCACCGAACAGATGGATAAACCGTTACAGTCCCCGATCTGCATTTATTTGCACCTCGTTGTTTAACACGTTCTTACTCCTTTTCCTCATATACGTTTTGAGCTCTTACCGAGTACCAGGCACCGTGCTGTCCCGTTGGAGCCTCCCAACAGCCCATGTTATGGACACCGGTAACCAGAACTAGCATTTTGGGGCTCATGTATATAGTGTGAGGCGCAATGTGAAGCATTTTGTGGACGTTACCTCTTGCGATCATCACCACTTCCGTCCCCGTTTTAGAGATGAAGGAACCAATTCAGTTAGCGATCCACAATCCCTTTTCTGAAACTCTGGGGCCAGGTATGTTGGGATTCAGAATTTTGGGGGGCGCAGATAATATGTCGTGTATTATGGAACGCCCATAATTGTGTATTATGCTGCACGACGTAATGAAATCCATCAATATTTCTGCAAAGAAACATGTAAACAGCATCACCAAGTGGGATAAAGATTATAAATAGCCTCATATCAGTTAGGATCTTGGTGCCAAATAAATTATAAAAAGGCCTTTGGTCCTCGGAGCTTTCTGGAGCTGTGGATGAGGACCCGAGGACCTGCCCCATGTTCAAGGTCTTCCAGCTCTGTGTGTATGAGGGCTGGCACCCAAATCCACCCCTCTCTGGGAGTGAAGACATCTCATCATTATGACGGGTGGGCACAGTCCCGATCTAGATCTGTTTGCTCCCAAGTGTGGGACTTGCCTTGCACTTCTCGTCCTTTTGCCTTCTGTCTTCATCCCTTGGGAAGCTTTAGTCACCTCCCCAGCAAGGTCTTCCCTCACCGCCCAAATTAAAGTACTTTGCAACCTGTCGTTCTCCACCTGGCACCCAGCCCCTCTCCAACCATGACTTCATGCAGCGATCAAGACATATTTAAGTACCCACTGTGCACTGATTGATTGATTGATTGATTGATTGTGGATGTGGTGGGGAAAAGCCGGATGGGGCTGAGAATGGGAGAGCCTAGACTTTAAGGGACCAGGGCTGTCTTCCCCTCCGAGGATGGGGCCTGTGGTCAGTATGTCAACGGCAGCAGAGCCAGGGAAAGGATGGTTTCCCATAATCTGGGTCAGGAGGCAGCGAGGGTCCATGGGAACGGTTTCTAGCTACACCCTCGCCCACCCACATCCATGGCGGACCGGGATCAGTTGCAATACCTTCCCTCTCAGCACCAGAGTGACCTAAGCCCCCTTCCCACCCGGGCGGCCCTGCCAACTCTTTGAATTACTACTTTGCCATTGAGCTAGCTAATGGCACTCCTTCGCGCTAGCTAAATATTTATGAGCTTTTCCTCTCTGAAGGTGGCAGCCTTTCTTAGAAAACCATGCCTCACTTTGTGTTTATTTAATCTGCTTTTTCCTTTCTCCTTATTTTTTTTTTTTTTTTTGTCTCCCCAGGAGAAAATAATGAATGTCAAAGGAAAAGTGATTCTGTCAATGCTGGTTGTCTCGACTGTAATTGTTGTGTTTTGGGAATATATCAACAGGTAATTGTGGAGTGTGACACCCACCTTGGACTTGAGTCTCCTCTTGTCAGCCACGTGACCAGGTTGAAATTAAAACTGAGATTAACAATGAAGAAGAGATTCCACCCTTCCTGTATCCCTGAGCCCTGGACTATATTTAAAATCATTAGATCGACAAGTACCTTCTGGCTAATTAATCCCCTTCCTTCCTGTCACATTCCTAATGTCTTGACTTTTGTACCTTTGCTGTTCTGGGTGGGTTATGTGCAGAAACAGCGAGGCCATCCTAAGCCCAAATGTGACTTTCATCATTGGTATGACGAGCTGTGGAAATTACCTTAAGAAATTTCAGACAGGAATGTCATGAGAAATCCACCCCACATCTTCCAATTCTAAGATATTTTCAGAGTTGAAAGGCATAACTTAAGTTGTTGACTTTCGCTATACGATCCACTCTGAGCGGCTAGTGATTCATTTGTGCCTGGCTAACATGCTTGGGTGTCTTGTCTTGTTTTGTTTTGTTTTGTAACTCTGGAAGGCAAAATGAATGAAACACTTCTGAGTTTTCAAATGCATCAGTGGATTCCCCCCCAAATATGCGTGCTTCTGTGCTTTTGGAAAATCCAGCGTCTCAGAGATTCCAGCTGGAGAGGCTCCTGACAGAAAGTAGTCTGTGCAAACAGCTACAAAAATGCATGATCCCTTTGACTAGGAGGCACTTTATCCAAGAAGTCCACAACACAATTCTGGGCGGGGGAGCTGTCCTGACACCACTAATATTTTCATGATGAAGCCCGTTAGTAGCCCCGAAGTTAAAGGTGACAGCCTGGATTAACAGTTAAATTCCTTCTGCTCTTAAAGCTTAAGCCTGCAGGACCATCTTGGCTACTAAAAAAAGGGATCTGTACCTTTAAGTACATCAGTAGAAGGAAGACTCCAGAGCGTGGGAGCTGTTACTCCCGGGAGTGCAGAGTAGATCTAACCCCTTCTGGAGCGTTATTCTGTTTCATTCTGAACAACTCATTTTAACAAAATCGAGACAAGCTAGGGTGTGGTCAAGTTCAAGGAGTCTACAAACCCCGTCTGTCTTTTGAATTGAGGAAACTGGACATACTTAGTCCTGAGGCAAGGTAATTCAGAGTCAGGTGCAGGGACCCTGGGATCCCTTGGGTACTTGAGGGCAGAGGAAATATCTTGTCTGGAGTCTGGAGCTGGGCTGCCTGGAACTGGTTCTGTGACACCATTCACCTCCTCTGTGGCCCTGGGCAAGTTACTCAGCAACTCTGTTCCTCAGTTTCCCTCTCTTTAAAAATGAGGGGATAATAATAGTACCTGCTTCACAGGTACCTCATTGGGAGGATTCAGTAAGTTATTGTATATAAAACATTTAGGGCAATGCCTGGGAGTTAATAAGCACTTAGTGAATGCTAGCTGCCATCCTCTCCCTCCTCCTCTTCCTCCTCCTGCCCCTCCTTCTCCTCCTCCTCTTCCTCTCCCTGCCCCTCCTTCTCCTCCTCTCCCTCCTCCTTCTTCTCCTCCTTCTCCTCCTTCTCCT